CTTTGAGAACAGCTCCAGCCCAGCGTGCGCACACAGGCAGGAAGCCGGACGTACTCTGACCCTCAGGGCCGAGAGTGGTAGAATACTCATTTGGCACGGGCTCTGGCAAAGCGTACTTCGAAGAACAACTCGCGCGAAATACTTCGGACTTGCCAGACGCTGTGGTAGCCCTTTCGCCGTCGGGACCAAACTGGGGAGGTATGGAAGAGGCCTGGCCAGCCGCTGGCATCAACGAGTTGCACAATGTCCACCACCTCTTGGTATAAGAACTCAAAGACAACATCTTATGCCTCACCCGGCGAACATACTTAGAGTGGTCTTCCAACAGTCCCCGCGAGCAAACTTCAGCAACATGGTCAAAATCTCGAGTACCTGATTCATAAACTCTAGCTTCAATGAGCTGTTGGCTCATTCCGTTCAACCATTGATGGGAAGATTTATGAAACGTTCTATGCGATGTAAGAATGTACTTTCTGCTCTGGAGAACCGTGTCTGTAAACTTGGTCGCAGCCTCATCGGGGCCACATCCGACAAACAAGTCGCTCCAACAGACGCCGTCCGAAGATTCGCAAAGACCATTCCAATCCGCTTGTCTGTAATCCCAGCAATCGCTTTCAATAAGAACCGAATGCTGCATGGTAAGCTCAACGCTTGCCCAGACAACCCTGTGGTCGGCGATCTGGGAAAGCACCTTGCATTTGACCCCGGCACCCATGTCGATCAAGACCAAGTCAAGCAAGTATTCTCCACGAGTCGGCTGCCCGACTCTCTCCACCAGGCCCATTCGCGAGCATGCCATTTGCAAGGTACGGCCTCGCATACTGCGCACCCCCCCCGCCCGTTGGGCACCTCCCTTGAATGAACCGCGCCACTTGTGGCGAAACGCATGTGGCCAACCCGCCCAATTCGACATACACCTCGAACAAATCGTTCCCAATTGGGAGCTGAACCTACGGCCCCCAATGCGGGAGCTCACATGCGGCGACCTCCACCTACTAGTTACCCAAATGACGCAACTCACATGCGTTCGCCCCGTGAAATTTCGACAAACCCCTCGCAGAGATCACGGCCCCAACGGGTGAGCTCCAATGCGGCGACCTCCATCTGCGGTCCAATTGGAGCAACTCACATGCGGTCGCCCCGCAAATGTGGGCACACGTGGCACAACCCTCACAGAGATCGTAGCCAAGAGGGGTGCCGCCTAAGGCCCCATTAGGTGAGCCCGCATGCGGCGACCTCCACCGACGGCCCAAGCGTTGCAACTCACATGCGGTCGCCCCGCCCACGTCGGCACGCCCCTCACACAAATCGTGCCCCACGGGGAACTCGAACTACAGCCACAGCGGGGGAGCTCCCACGCAGCGGTCTCCATCCAGGGCCCCAGTGGATCAACTCGCGCGCAGTCGCTCCGCCCAGCCTGGCGCAACCCTTACAGAGATCGTGCCCCGCAAAGAGCTCCACCTGTTGCCCTAGTGTGGGTAGCTCCCATGAGCCCCCTCCCACCAGCCCATCTCTGCATACCTTTCAAACGGGCCACGCTCAATTCGGAGCTCCGACTGTGGCCCGAGGAGGGAGCTCGCATGCGGCCGCCCCACTCAGCTTGGCACAGCTCTCGCACGGATCGTGCCACATGCCACATAGAACTCCAGAGAAGGCGAGGGTCCCAACTACGTGGGGTGAGGGGAACTCGCATGCGGTCGCCCCGCGATTTCCGGCACACCCGTCACACAAATCGTGCCCCATAGGGAGGTTCCCTCTCACGACACATCCCAAGATCTGTTTCAGATGTCGTGTCCCTGTGGTCTCAGAGCTCGACGCGGGCCTCCAGAGGCCGAGAGGAGAATCCTAATAATATGACTGATAATAATATAAAAAACAACAAGTAACCGAGATGTGCCCAACCTTTCTTCCGCGCAAGGCGACTATGTATATGATCGCTCCATACAAAAAAGCACAATGTGATTCACATGTGTATATATATATATACACAGCACTCAGAAATCCTTCGCCGAACAATGTCGGGAAACGCGAGTCGCGCGCCTCCGCAGGAGCGGGCCACTGAAGGCAGCGACGTGCGCTACGTGACGTTTCAACGCTCTACCCTCTGTGATGCAGCAGAACCGCGAGCTAAATTACGCGACGGCGCCAAGCGCCATGTGGGCGCCCTGTAACCCGCGGTGCCTCTCAGGAGCCCACGAACATGGAAACGGTTGCGCAATTCGCAGCCCATAGAGGAGCCGCGAGGTCTCAAATGATCTGCGCTGGCCTCACCTCCGCCGCGCATCCCAGGAGCCCACGAGAATAACAACGGTTGCGCTATTCGCAAAGCCCAGAAACCGAGAGGTCTCGAAGTGATCCGCGCTGCCCTCCACTCCGCTGGACCTTCCAGGAGCCCACGAAAGTGGCGACGGTTGCGCAGTTCGCAACTACCCAAGGAGCCTCGAGGTCTCGTCTGGATGCGCGTACTCCTCCAATCCGCTGGATCTCCCAGGAGCCCACGAGAGTGGCGCCAGCTGCGCTGCTTGCAGCCACCAAGGGGGCCGCGACATCTCGTCCGGATGCGCGTACGCCCTACCCTCACTCCGCTGGACCTCCCAACAAGCAACGAAAATTGCGATGGTTGCGCAATTCGCAGCCGCCCAAGGAACCGCGAGGGCCCGTCTGGAAGGGCGTACATCTCCATTCCGCTGGACCTTCCAGGAGCCCACGACAGTGGGCGACAACTGCACAGTTCGAAGCGACTCACGGAGCCTCTAGGTCTCGTCTGGATGCGCGTGCACTGACCAGCCTCGAGCTTATCCGTATCCCTGATATTGGCAAATCAAGAAGCGATGACAGTCTGAGGGATGCACCCTCAGAAACGAAGGGAACCCTCAAAATCGGCATCTGTACGAAGCGCTGCGCAACATAGGGACAGGGATTGATTCCAGGCTGGTTTACACCTCCACTACGCTGGAGCTCCCCAGAACCCACGAGAATTGCAACAACTGCGCAGTTCGCAACCACTCAAGGAGCCGCGAGGACTCGTCTGAACGCGAGTACACATCCACTCCGCTGGATCTCCCGGGAGTCCACGAAAGTGGCCACGGTTGCGCAATTCGGGATCACCAAGGGAGCCACGATGTCTCCTCTGGATGCGCGTACACCTTCATCCCGCTGGCACTACCAGGAGCCCACGAGAGTGGAACTGTTGCGCAGTACGCAGCCTCCCAAGGAGCAGCGCAGGAGGAGGCAGGAGGAGGGAGGAGGAGAGGAGGAGTGGAGACCACAGTGCTCGACCCAAAACGATAACCCAACGCAGGAGGGTTGGGAAAGAGAGGAGGAATAATCCACCGGCCGCCCTGTGGGGCCACCGAGCTGTAGGGTTGTGTTGCTGCTCCCTGCGCCAATTGCAGTTTCAAGTCTCCGATGTTGCAGTCCTGCGTTCCGTTTCCTATTGTACATTGTTGAAGTCCGCGCGAGGGGGGGGGCCCAAACCACCAATTGTACCCCCAAATCGCGCTACCTGAATTCCCGGGGGGCGTGGGACACATAAGAAGTACATAAGATCCGCGCCCCCGAAGCGATAACCCGTCGTAGATTACACCATGTTCGCGTCCCCGAAGCCACAAACCCTTGTGAATGTACTACACTTGCATCCCCAAGGCAACACACCTTTTTCAAATTAGGCGATATTCACGTCCCCAGAGCCACACACCCTTACAAATTCCACTATATTCGCATTGCCGAGACCAAGAATACTCCAATGTGCTTGAAGATGGTTCCAAGACGGCCCAAGAGGGCCTCAAGAGCCCTCAAGAGCGCTCCAAGAGGCCTCCCGAGAGAGCCCCAAAGACGCCCAAATCGTCGATTTGACAGAAGTGTTGGAAGGATTTTGGTATCGAAATTTCTGTTTCTCGACGCTCCAAGACGGCTCAAGAAGCTCCCAAGACCGCCCCAAGACAGCCCAAGATGCCTCCAAGAGGGCCCCAAGACAGCCCAAGAAGGCTCCAAGAAGCTCTCCGAGAAGCCCCAAGAAACCCCCAGGAGGCCCCAAGAGGCCGCCAAGAGGCTCCAGGAGGCCCCAAGAGGCGCCCAAGACGCGCCCGAGAGGCCCCCAAGAGGCCCAACAGAGGCCCCACGAGGCCCCACGAGACCCCCAAGAGGCGCCCAAGCCGCCTCCAAGAGGCCCCCGAGAGGCTCTCCACGAAACCCCAACACATACACGAGAGGTCTCAGACCCACAACCCAGGCACGGTGGCAGGATAGGCCGACGGCCACTCGGATAACGACAACGCCTCAATATGCGCTGATGATTACCCTCCGCCCCCGCATGATGTTCCCAGATGCGCCAAGTCAGCGCCGAGACGCACCGACGCGACTCTGATGTATCCCATTCTGATAGAGAGGGGGCCGGCGACAAGGGGCGAAGCCCTTATGGACATTAACAATAATAAACATGTTCCCGCAAAAACTTACAAGAACAATATTATGCCGACGCGAGCTCTTCTCCGCCAGCGTGCGCTCAAGGATGACCCGCCAGCGGCGCCTGGACTCCCCGAAGTGAAAGCGAGAAAGTGCAGAAGCGGTGGCCGGCGCAAAAGCGGGGCCAGCACGGTGCAGATGCGGGAGCGGTGGCCGATGAATAAGAATAAGAAGAACAATAATAATAATACTAATAGTAATATAAATAATAATAGTAATAATAATAATAATGATAATAATAAGGACAAGAATAAGAATAATAAGAAGAAGAAGAAGAACAAGAAGAAGAAAAAAGACACCGTGTGTCCAGAAGGCACGCGGAACAATACTCTCATTCAGCTACGTCCGCCACCTCGAGGTGAGGCAAGGCGGGCCGAAACGAGGAGCGAGAGGGGAAGGAGAGAGGAGGCGCGGAGGGAAGGGGCGAGGAGCACTGGGCGGCAACATCTTCCCATGTCCACCAGCCCCTGGCCCGGGACCGACCCGTGAAGGCGTACAGGCCCCGTCGCCCGAAGGGGAGCGCGCCGCCCCCGCGCCTTCTGGAAGTGCTCCCGGAGCTGCTGGCACTTGGCGTCGCGCGCCTGGCGGCGCGAGGGTCCCCGCCCCGGGGGGCGGGGAGGGGAGGGGCGACCGCCGCTCGGCCTCCGAAGGGCTCGACGTCGCTGTGGCGACTCGGGCGCTGGAGTGGCAGCGCTCGGGGCCGCTTGCCCTGCGGGGATCGGGGCCGGGTGCACCACTGCCGACCAGCCATAACTGGGGGAGCTGTGGTCCTCACCCCCCTGGGGGAACCCCTCGCCTCGACGATCTCTCGAGAGGGCCGCCCAGGGGGGGTGAAGATCACAGCTCCCCAGGGGGGTGAGGATCACAGCTCCCCCACTTGTGGCTGGCATGCCCTGGGCTCCTCCTCAGATCCGCTGCTTCGCAAACGAAAGAATGGCGAGCGGGCTGGAAGCCAGCCCTGGGACCGGGAAGAAACAGAGAGACTCGGGGTGAAGAGCCGGCCAAGGGGAAAGGCCCGAGAAGTCCTGAGGCCCCCGCCACGAGACGGAAGCGAAGCCGGAGGAGAGGCTCCCGCGCGAGCACCCCCAGCGGCAGCAGTCCTGGAAGAGCCACCACCCTCGCTGGACGTCCGCAGCCGCGGCCCCCCACTGCTCGCCCCCAGCCACTCCTGCTCCGCCATGCCCCTCCTCCAGCTCGCTCCCGCCAGTCCTCAGCTCGCCATCGCTTGGACGTCCATTCCCCGTGCATGTTCCGGTTCCGTGCGTGTTTGGCCCTTCGCAAGATGACCCGAGACGGTCATCGGTGGCCCTTGCCGAGAAAAATGCACGTCCGCGGGATGCCAGTCTCAACCATTCGCCCCACCGGGACGTTGGTGCCCGGGCCCCCGGCAAGGGCGGGCGGCTCTCTTCCATAAGTGGGGCCCCCACTTGGGGGTGTCTGGCGATGGCCGATTCTGACTTTGCGCGTTTCGCACAGTTCGCGACAATTGTGCCTGCTCCCTACGCTCTCTCTCTTCCTCCTGCACCTCCTCCTCCCTCCTCTCTCCTGACGCGCGCTCCCTCCTCAATATTCCCTCTGCTCCTCTCCCGCCAATGTCCTGGCTCGTCCCTGCCCTGCATAATCCCTTCTTTCTTTCCCAGCCTTTTCATCCCTCCTCCCACCGTCATCCTCGCTTCTCACCTCCTGCTGCTCCAACTGCTCTTCCTCCTTCTCCTCTTACCTCTGCTACTCCTCCTACTCCTTCGGCTGCTCCTCCTGCTCCTACCACCTCCACCTCTTCCTCCCACCTTCTCGCCCATTCGCTACTCCCGACGGCTCACGTTCTCTCGCGCAGGAAGGGATGAGAGGGGGAAGGGTTTCCCTCCCCCCTTCCCACCACTCATCATTTATCACTCCTCATTCGTCCCCGCTGGTGATAACGGAGATGCGGACGACGACGGTGGCAGGTAACACGAAACACGATGTTGGCAGACGCGGACGACAACGGCAATGGTCAAAGACATGAAGAGGATGGCAAGCAGTACGATGGGCGAAGATAGCGCCTTCGACGATGAAGGTGGTGACAGCGACAGCCAATGACGGCATTGACGATTGACAGCGGCGACGATGGATTACGACGACGGCGGCGGCAGCGACCTCGGACGAGGACAGACGATAGATAGCGACATCCGCGCTGAACGAGGATCGACGACAACGACAAAAATAATGAGGTTGCTGACGCAGCGACGATGGGCAACGAGGTCGGCGACGAGCACAACGAACGGCGGATGATGGCACCAACGAAGACGACGAATACGGCGCTTCTAAGCGGCAATGAAATCAACAAGGCGATGAAGACATGCATTGCACAGCCCGAAAGCAAATAGCAGTCCGCTGAGAGCCAACTCTGCGCTGAGACAGAAGCCTCCGAATTGTCGCTCAGACTTTGGCGAGTGGTCAAATTCAAACTCGCACTGCGTCTCGCGTCCTTGGCACATGCCATAAACGGTCGGAGGTGGCGTTGGGCCTGATCCCTCTGCGCCAGGGACTGCTGGCAGCGCTCGTTGAGGACCGCGAAATGCGCCTGAAAGCTACATGCCCTTACCATGCCAATGTTCCACGTGTCCCTGCAACGTCAAGAAAACATCGCGCCGTGCAGAATACAAGGGTTCAGACATGCGCCTGTCACCTGGGAACCAAACCTCCAGATATCCAAATCTCCAACCACTCGAGCAGGGACATATGAAAAACAAGTTCTCACAACCACTCTGCAAAAATATGTGGCATGACTTCCTGGAGAGCATCCAGTGCGTGCGCACTTGTTCTCTTCCTCAGCCTCGCGATTTGCCCCGCTTGTCAACCCGGCGTGACGTGGACAGCTCACAGAGGTGCCAGAGGGCTCGATATGGCCGATTCCGGAAACCCTGAGCCAAAATTCTGGTCATCGCTTGGGAGGTCGATGTTTGCTTCCGCCGGCTTCCGCCGAACTCCCGCCGATGGAGGCGGCCTCGTTTTAATTCCGCCGGACTTCCGCCGCACCCCGCCGAGGAAGAGATGGCAACTCCTTCGATCCTCGAAGGAAAGGCCTTGTCGGAACGTCTCCTATGTCGGAAGGTGGACTACCCCCCGCTCGACGAGTTCAACAAAAATCCGTAAGCTCGGTGAGCGGAAGTCGGCACGAGCCAACCAGTAGGGTCAACCCGCGCAAGCAGGCCCACGATGAGTCCCGGAGCTACACATTGGAGATGTATCGAGCAATGCACCGAAAAAGAAACACCACGACACCATGAGGAACCTCCCCTACTCCATGACAGTGGTGGTGCTGGCGCCGTCGTTCCCTCGTCCTCAGAAAAGCTCCACATGCGACATTCTTTGTCACACGTCGTCGTTCTCTGTGCGTCCTACAAGACCCGGGAGAGAAGGATGACGCCGACGACAACTCGCCTTCACATCGTTTCCAAAGGGTCGGGATCGTTGTTAGTTCTATCTGCTGCGCCCGGATCTGACAACGACCCGGGTGGTCGACTACACAAATAAACCGTCGTCATTTCCCTTCCCGCGACACCTGCAGGTCGTGCCCCCGACCTTCTCCTCGCCCTTCCTCTCTTCACCCCCTTCAGAGATCAATCCCATGCCTCTCTTGGGACGCCTTCTCGCGTTCTGGGTAAACTGTCGAGGCGGATTCAACAATGGCGACGCAAACCCCCCGGAGGCCCAAAATGAGCGACACGCGTAGAACTACGCCGCTTCTCGATCATCCCCTACTTCTCCTCATCCTCCAACCCTCTTCTCGGGAACCTGGCGCCACCTTCTAGACCTCAAGTCTCCTGCCCCAGGGGTGGTAGACTGAGGCCGCGAAACCCTGCTCAACGGGCGGTCCAGGATGGGTCTGGTGTCGATCGTGAAGGGGCAGGAAGCCCCCAACGGGGCTCAAGCAGGCCGAACCCCCGAAGCGAAGACAAGGAAGCATGATGAGACCTTGCCATCGCTCAGACGTCCATTCTGCGTGCATGCTTCGGCTTCGCACGCGCGTTTTCGCAAAATGATCCAGGACGCCCCTCGATGGTCCTCACCGAGAAAATACCAACACGTCCGAGCGATGCCGAGATACGCACATCAACATACGTGCGCCCCGAGCCAGCCCACGCGTGCCCGACACGAGTCGGGTCCGACCGAGAGACAGGCCCCAGGCCTCCACAGGGCCGGAATCTGATGGCGTGGGTGGCGTCCTTTCTTAGGCGGCTGCGCGCTCGGGAAAGGGGGCTTCTGCGGGGTCGCCGGACTTGGCTCGTCTAGCTCGCGCGCTCCTCGTGCGTTTTGCTGGGTTCAGCTTGTGCACGGGCGCCCTGCTCCAAGGGACCAAGCCGCCCGAAGAGCACCCTGCGGCGCACGCGCTTCTCCGCACACCGCCGGAGTGTGAAGACCCTTCAGAAAATCAAAGTGAAGGGCACAAAGAATGACTCGAAGGCAATCGTGCATCGCTCTCTCCGTGCCCCTCCATTCCCTTTAACCTGGATTGCATTCCCTGTCATTCCTCTTTCCTTTACATCTGCTTTCACGTAGCCGTGGCTCAAGAGCAGAAGATTTCCGACAATGGACGACCTGCCAGCCGAGGTCCAACATGGAAATCCCACCAGATCTTTAGGGCGTAGGTGGTCTAGAGACCTTTTGCTTCCAACCCCTTCCTTCCCCTCCGGGGAAGGGTCTATCACTGTTCCCTATTAGTGTGCACCCCGGCCCCCGGGCGACCGGCAGCCAACCAGGAACCAGCAGGACACTATGCTCTCTCTCTCTCTCTCTCTCTCTCCCACACACACACCCGACCATCCCTGTCATACAACAATACAACACGTCCTTTGCCTCCACATTTGGAACATGCGCGGCCAACCCGATGCGTCCCCCCCCATCCTTCTCAAAATGCAATACCACGTAAACGTTGGGACAAAAGTCTTGAGTCATGTTCGTGAGGCCCGCGAAAAGTTTCTATTGTTTTTGGCAGGGACGGCGGGTGTGTGAGCATATTGCCTGCTGTGCGCAGGGTTACTATCCCCAACAAAAACAATCCAACATACGTCTCGCGGATAAGTCTGGATCATGCGCGGCCACCGCGCGATCACTGTCAAGTTGTTTTTGACAGGGGCGGCGGGGGTGGTGGCATATGCCCTGCTGTGCGCAGGCGCACAGGACACAATGATGGGCATTGGTTCTCGACAAGGATTGTGGGGGCCGACATGTTTCCTCATGTGTGCTGTCACGCGCGCAGGCGCACCTGACACACTCTGCACGTGCCCCGAACGTGGCGCACTTGGCGCGGTTGGAGTATGCGGCACACCTGGCGCACGCGTAACACATGGCGCATCTGGCGCACCAGGCGTGCCTGGCACGCTCGGGCCCCCGTGATACCTGGTCGCGTGGCGCGCCTGGCACGCGTGGCGCACCTCACCCCATCGTCGCGCACATGGGGTCGGTGTTGGTTCCCCATAGTTGCCCATTCAAAGACGACCGCTGAGCATGCTCAGGGTCGGGTGTTATTTATGTGTTGGGAGGGCGGGTGTGGTTGAGCTAAACGGCTTGCTATCTAGGGGATGTTTTGATCAGTGTTCCCTATTAATGAAAAAAACCTTTTCCCCCAGCGACTGGTAGCCAACCAGGAACCATGAGGGCCCCCTCCACCATCCATTAAAAAACCATACAAAACACACTCTGCCTCCAAATTCGGAGCATGCGCGGCCAACCTGATGCGGCCTCCCCCTACCATCCTTGTCAAAAACAAAACTGAATACACTTGGCGGCGGCGGCGGCGGCGGAGAGGCGGCGGCGGCGGCTGCGGTGGCGGCGGCGGCACCGGATTGGCCCCCAGTAGCTGCCCATCCAAAGACGATTGCTGAATATGCTGGGGCTCGGGCCAGGCTCGGGTGCTACGTGTGTGTTGGGAGGGCGTGCGGGGGTGAGCGAGACGGCTTGCGGGCGGGGAGGGAATCTTGACCCCTCCCCCATACGCCCTCCCCTGGACCTGGACGGGGGGTTCCGCGACAGCTGGAAGATCCAAAATGGCCCAAGGCGGCCCAAGCGAACCTCAGAGAGCCCAAGGTAACCTCCAGGATGGCCCACGATAGCCCAAAATGGTTCCAGATGGCTCCCAGGGTGCTCCAAGAGGCCCCAATAACGCTCCCGGGCGCCTCCAAGATGCCTCTGGGACTTCCCGGGAGGCCGCCAAGAGGCCAACATCTTTCAAACACCCAAAGACAATAAATGATGTGTTCCTTCTCGCCTCTGCGTTTCCGATGGCCAAATGAGGCGGCCTTCTGAGGCTTCAAAACAGCACCAAAAAAGGCCCATGCCGGCCCTAAGCGAGGACCAGCAAAAAAAACCCAAGACGGCCCCAAGAGCGGCCAAATAGCGCCTCAAGAATGGCCCCAGAGGCGATGATTGGCGCTCCCAAGGGGGGTCATACTTCATCGGAGCTCCCATCTGTTTGATCGATCTCCTCCAAGATGGCCCCAAGAGCGCTTCCAAGGTCCCCACAAGCGCCTAACGAGGGCCCCAAGAGGCGCCGAAGAGGCCCCAGGAGGCACCCAAGAGGCGTCCAAGAGGCTCCAAGAAGCCACAAGAGAGGCCCAATAGAGCCCAAAGACGGCCCAAAGAGCGCCCGAAAGCGTCCCAAAAGCGCTCCAAGAGTGACCTTTCCTCTGCGTGCTGCCCACTTCCTTGATCGAGGCAACTCCTGTGGGCATCGTCTCAGGATGGACTTGTGGCCTTACTTTTTGTTCGCGAGCGCGCAAGGGAAAGCAGGGCGCCGACAAGAAGCGCGGCTAACGAGCAGCGGACTAAATTCCGCACGAGAGCGCACAGAAAGCTGGCGGGCTTGCGCGAAGCGTCAATCATCCTAATTTACAGGAGCGGGAAGGCGCCCATGGCCCCCACTTGCGCTTCGATTTCATGTCCGCGAATGGCACGGGCCCCGCCCTGCTGCATTCCTGGAAGCACAAGCGCTCTTCAGGTGCGTCGCCTGTCGCCCCGAAGCAAGCGTGCAATCATTCTCCAATTTCGTCCCAGCTCGCGTGGGCCGAACGCGAGTGGGGCTACCTTGCCCAGGCGGGGAATGTGTCTTTGCTTCCCGGTTGACGCCCCTCCGCCCAAACACCTCAACGTCAACCCGCGCGGCTTGATCCTGCAGCCGCGCCCCGAGGCCGCCGCCGAGGCCGACGAAACAAAGCGCTGCGAAGCTTGTTTAAGCGCCGATTTGCGGCGAGGGGGAATCAATGACGACGTGCCGGATGCCGACGTCGCGCGCGACGGGGTGGGCCAGGCTGTGCCCCGCATGTCCCTGGGTTCGTAGGTTTTCATGAACGACTGGCACGGCCCGCGCGACGTTTCTGTTTTAGTCGGCGCGCGTCCGACGCCGATTCGCGCGCCCTAGTTCCCCAGCCCCCATGGCAGAAGCCAGTTCGGGAAATACAACTATTTACCATTCGGCCTGAAGCCTGCGCCTGGTGTCAACGATGCCGGAGTGAAGGATATGTTTCAAGATCCTCCGCCTGAGTAAATAAGAACTTTTAGATTTCGATGCCGATGTTTTGGCGC